GCCCGCCGTAGCTCCGTCCGCCACCCAGCAGCTCCGCCCTGCCCGGCTTCGTCCCGCCCGGCTCTGTCCGCCACCGCCCCGCCGCCGCCGCCCCGCAGCTCCACCCCGCAGCTCTGCCCCACCCGACTCTGTCCGCCACCGCCCCGCACGCCGCCGCCGCCCCGCAGGTCCGCCCCGCCCGGCTCCGTCCGCCACCGCCCCAGCCGCACGCCGCCGCCGCTCCACCGCTCTCCGATGGCGCCGAAGGGCAAGTCGGACTTCTTCGGCGTGAGGCAGAAGCCCTCCGGTAACTGGGGTGTGGAGTTCTCCGACGCCGGAAGGCGTTGGTGGATCGGCACGTACCCCTCCGCCCACGAGGCCGCGCGCCTACGACGTGGCGGTGTGGCGTGCCGAGAGGCCTCGGTCGCACCTCAACTTCCCAGAGATCGAGACTCGGGCGGAAGCGGAGATGCTTGTGCCGCAGGGCATCAACATGAAGGAGATCACGACGACGAAGAAGAAGACGAAGAAGCTGTCGGTTGTCGTTAGTGCTAGCGAGACCGACGAGGAGGCGATGGCGAGGTTTTCTCAGGAGCATCCGGAGTATGTCCAGGCCGAGCTGGAGTACTACTGGAAGCGTGATGCAGAGCAGAAGAAGAAGGGGCCAAAGAAGGAGGACGAGGCCGGTCCCTCGACGATGATCCCCATGGAGTCCTCTTCCGAGGAGGACTGGGCAGACTTCTCGGACGAGGAGGAGGAGGAGGGGTGCGACGACCCGACGAAGGAGGAGTTCTGGGCGTAGTTCCGCAGCTCCGACGATGAGGAGTAGTTTATCTAGTAGTTTGAATAAGTAGTAGTTGAAGTTCATGTATGAAACTGTGTTGAATTTGATGTTTGAACTATGTTGAATGGACTAGCAGTATGCCGTTTTAAGAAATTTACATCTTCATTTTGGACCATCTATTGGAGTTGCTCTTTTGGACCATATGTTGAAGTTGAGCTTTTTTCGAAGCTCCAAAACACACTTTTTGGCGGTCCAAATTTTACATCTCCAGTTTTGGACCGCCAAATTTTGGACCATTTATTGGAGATGCTCTCAGGGCGGGTGTTCCTGTCTCGTTATGGATGGAGCTGGTCCCAGACTTCTTTTAGGCTATGGTCGCCAGTGATCCTGCTATGCAGGTTTAGTAAGAGCATCTCCAATAGATGGTCCAAATTATGACGGTTCAAAACCAGAGATGTAAATTTTGGACTGTCAAAAAGTGTGTTTTGGAGCTCCGAGAAAAGGCCAACTCCAACGGATGGTCCAAATTATGACGGTTCAAAACCGGAGATGTAAATTTTGGACCGTCAAAAAGTGTGTTTTGGAGCTCCGAGAAAAGGCCAACTCCAACGGATGGTCCAAATTCATGGTCTAAAAGAGCAACTCCAATAGATGGTCCAAATTCATGGTCCAAAACCGGCCAGCAGCCGCCCGGCTGCTGTTCAGCCGCTGTCCAGCCACTGTACAGCTGCAAATATTTGAAAATAACATTAAAAAAATTCATGTCCACAATATCAAATTATTACATAGTTCTTCAGATCCAGGAGATGCAACACAAACACAAATACAACATAGTTTTGCACAAATACAACATAGTTTTGAACAAACAAATAATGAATCTATGCGGATCTTTCGCCATGCCATTTCCAATGCTCTTTCATCAAATCTTTCTGTAGTTGGTCATGCACATCGCTGTCTCTAATCTCATTGTACACCTTCATGAAACGTATGATGCACTGTTCTTTTCGCATGGGGTTAATAGGACCATCAAGTGATAGAAGTTGTAATCTAAATGTTTTCCACGCTCGTTCTCAATGATCATGTTATGCATGATCACGCAAGCGGTCATGATGTACCAAAGGATATTTTGATCCCAAAATCTAGATGGTCCTCGCACAATAGCAAATTGGGATTGCAAAATCCCAAATGCCCTCTCAACATCTTTTCTAGCCGCCGCTTGTGCATTATGAAAGACAAGTTCTTTCTTACCTTCAGGTTTTGCAATCGGCTTGACGAATGTACTCCACCTCGGGTAGATCCCATCTGCGAGATAGTACCCATAGTTGTAGGTGCGGCCATTTTCTTCGAAGGTCACCGGTGGTTCTTCTCCATTTGCTAAGTTGGCAAAGAGAGGTGACTGGTCGAGCACGTTGATGTCGTTGCAAGAACCGGGCATACCAAAATATGCATGCCAAATCCATGTTTCATAATCAGCAACTGCCTCAAGAATGATAGTGGCATACTTCCCACGACCCTTGAATTGTCCATGCCATGCTTTTGGACAATTCTTTCATTTCCAATGCATGCAATCCACAGACCCAAGCATACCTGGAAAAACCTCGAGCTTTGTTCATCTCCAAAAGCCTTTGAGTGTCCTGAGCATTGGGTGCTCTCAAATACTGTGGACTGAACACTTCTACCGTAGTTATTGCAAATTGCTTGACATAGAAGATAGAAGTGCTCTCTGCCATCGCCAAGTTGTCATCAATGTAATCTGCCGGAACACCATATGCCATAATGCGCAAAGCGGCAGCGACCTTCTGCTCAATGCTATGGCCAAGCAACCCAGCACGGTTCCTTCTCTGCTCGAAGACTGGGTTATGCTGCTTCACTTCATTGCAAATGCGAAAGAACAAGTCTTTCGACATTCTGAAACAGAGTCGAAAGTAATTCTCTGAAAAAACAGGTGATGATGCAAAGTAGTTGCGCACTAACCGTTTGTGCGCATCAATCCGTTCTCTCCGAATGAACGCACGACCATAAACGGAACCACCGTGCTTCGGTTTTTTCCTCTTGTGCATGGCCACTAGCATAGCAATCTCCTCTTCTTCATGCAAATCAAATTCCTCGTCCGACGATGAATCATCCACGAAAGAGGAGTCAACCGAGCTCATCTATAATGCACACAACCACCGTCAAACATACTATCCAATCCCAAGTTAAATCATCAAGTTTTGTCATCTTTTTACCTTGGGGAATTCCGTCGAACACCTTGTGCGCGCGGTGGAAGAAGATGGCCGCCGGTTGGATTGGCTGCTGCTGACGGTTGCGGACGGCGGCGGTGATAAGAAATGAGGTTGGAGGCCGTCCAAGAGGAGCTCGGCGGGCGGCGAAGACTAGTTCGGCAGCCGGGCGGAGGGCCGCGGGGAGGCGGTCGTGCGGCCGGCGCAACGGCCGTGGACAGGATCACGGCCGACGGGAGGAGGTCGGCGGCAGCCCAAAAGACCCGCGCGGAGGCCTACCGCGGCAGCCGGACCGCCGGAGGGGCCGAATCCCGCGCCGGCTACCACTCGATTCGGCGACGGACGGGCGGCGACGGTGATGTGGGGTGGTGGCGGCGCCGACGGCGAGGTTTTGGGCGGTCCCGGCGGCGGATTTCGGCCGGCTGTGTCGCGGGCGGGCGGACGAGCGCGGGTGGGAACGGAAGTGAAGTGGCGGTTGGGCGTTCACGGGCGGCGGCTAGTTTTGAACCAGATGCATCTCGTGGTATATATTTGCATCGCGAGGTGTTGCATTTTATATTACGAGGAGGCCGCGGTCCAAATTTTTTGCATATGGACCGTCTGTTGGAGCATCGTTTTTTGCCCCAGACGGTCCAAAAGTTAGTTATTTTTACATTTGGACCATCTATTGGATATGCTCTAATGAAATGAATTGGTTCTGGATAAGAAAAAACACACACACAAAATGGTTAGTTATTTTTACATTTGGACCATCTATTGGATATGCTTTAATGAAATGAATTGGTTCTGGATAAGAAAAAACACAAAAAAAAAAATGATTGGACCGTAACCTGAGTCAGGCGGCCAAACGACGCGCCCCCTACATAAACGAACCGACCCGCTTTGGACAACCGTTTCCTCTCCTCCAAGCCAAACTACCGGACGCTCTCCCCTCCCCAGCCTCGTCGCCCGCACCGCGAAGCAATGGCGACGGCGTCGGTGCACCTCGGACGCTACGTCCTCCTCGCCGGCGTCGGTGCGTACCCTTCTGTCTTGTCTTATTTTCATCTCGATCGCGAGCTCAGCTTCCCGTGCTTGTTTTTGCTGACGGATCTGTCGATCGCGCGCGCAGGTTTCGCCGCCCCCATCGTCCTCGGCAACGGCCGCGCCGCCCGCTTCTCCGACATCCTCAAGGACTTCCAGGTGCGTGCGCGCGCGCGAGATCGATCGATCGATCACTGGCTTAATTTATTCATCGCTACCTCGCTTCGACCGGTCACATCGACTCGCGGTGTCGACCGGCCGGCGGCGAGAGTGCGCGCTTGTCTAATTCCTATTCTGACTTTATGTGCTGCGGCCGGCCGGCGGCGGTGTTTCCACTTCCACAGGAGTTTCTGCGCGAGAAAGGAGTAGACGGCAGCGCCGCCGAAGAAAATGCCGCGCTCAGCCTTCAGGTGTGTGCTCTCTGTATTATAATGCCGTTGTGGTGACTGTAACCGGATGCACTGAAAATAAATTAGCGTACAGAGTATGTTTATATCAGTGGATTAATCATGTTTTCTACCAATTTTAGCTGCAAATGCTTGCTAGGGAGGTCCGATATTTGTCAATGGCTCAGACTATTGTTCATATCGACCCTGGCAACAAAGGTGCGTTCATCTGCTGCCCTGAAATTTCCCTGTTGTGACTATCCAACCATGTCTTGGTTAACATTACTTGGCATATCCTCGTTCCCATACTGCTGCTAACATTAAGGGTCTACTAGTAATGTCTTCCAAAATAGAAGTGGAGTGCAGTTGACTTATGCTGCATTCCAGAGTCCAGACACATCTTTTCTCAGATTGTACAAATATATATTTGATGTTCATGACAGTTTGATTGCAGAAATAAAAACATTACAGGGGACAAGCAGTCTAAAAAACTGCAATTGAGAAGTGTGTAGAATACCTATGTTTCATTGATGCCTAAAGTCTGGCTGTTGTATTTTGTTCATTCTTTTTTTAGTTCGTGTTTTGGTCATTTTACATCTACATGGTTTATAACCCCTTGTTTTTCATCTGTTTGCAGTTCTATCAGCTTTCATAGCACCTGCTGCAGCTGCTGGGGCGGCAGGCTATGCCTATATGTGGTGGAAAGTACGTGTTATCTACTTTATGTTAGCCTTCAATCTTCAACAATATTTCCGACAACTCGAGAAACACTAGCAACCGTCATGTGCAATGCACAATTTTCCTTAACAAATCCTGCATGGAAAATACATTGTATATGTGAAAACTAAAATTTGAACTATAATTTTAGTCGTCATTTAATTTATGCATCTCAAATCGCTCGAAGGAAAAGGATGGACATTGAATATCTTTAAATCTTGAGCAAGTCTACAGTGAAGAGATAATTAGTAGGGCTTGATTAGGGTACTAGTTGTGCCATAACTCTGCAATTACAAGGTAAATTCCAAGTACACCACACCAACTCATAGTTCTATAACTATTCATTGTCATTTAGTTCTTTTAGTAAACTAAAAGTGGTGGTTCTGCCGCATTGTTCGCAATTATCCAAAATCGTGCCTGGAGTTCTTCATTGTCTTATTAATAAATTTTATATGGTTTTAACTTCTAAACCTTGTTGGTATCACATTGTCTAGCTAATTATGCCTGTACAACTCGTAACACCGCTTGTTGGTTGCAATGGCCACGCCCCTTTGTTCATGATCTTGTATTAGCAGATTGTAACCTTGTTACTATGGAATAAACTCCCTTTTACCCTGCAAAGAAAAACTTCTAAACCTTGATACCCTTCTCAATCAGCACACATATGCATAAAAAGCGTCATTTTCTTGTTTATACATTTGATATTTTTTTTGTCTTGTGCTGTCCTGGTTATCTGCCTAGTAGTGCTTGGTTTGATTCAAGCTTTTACGTCCTGATCAAATCATCATTACATTGATTTATTTATCATATATATTTACTTGTATCTGCACGCTTTCAGGGCATCTCATTTTCTAGCATAATGTACGTCACGAAGCAAAATATGGCTAATGCAGTTTCAAGCATGACAAAGCATTTGGAACAAGTGCAGAACTCTCTTGCGGTAAGTATAAAATACTTTTCCCAGTTATATTTGATTGGAAAAATGGTCACCATCTTCTTTATTCCTATATTAGTCCTCTGTGCTTCGAAGTGCTTCTATGTAATGATACCTTCTTTGTATTGTGCAAATTTGTTATGTTGTAATCTTCTTGGCTTAATACATTCGTGAGGCAGAGCACTACCATTTATCTTGTGCCTCGAAAGCATATTGCATCACTCGTGCTTGTTATAATTATGGATGTGATACCAGTTTTGGTGCTCACCATACATACATGTACCCATTTGCTCTCAGATATATTTGACTTAGAAGTCACTAGTCATTGTTGTGCTACTGCTGACCTGTTTCCAACAGAAAAGAAGTCCGCAAGGGCAAAGAGCTTGAAAGAAGTGTTTTCTTACAAAGAAAATTGCCATAATATGTTTGTTGGATTTAACTTGGAGCTTGAGCTTGTATTTCCTCAAACTATGTGACTATTATTTATAGTAAGATTTGTTTTGTTCAAATCAAATGCATTGGTAATCTGGGTTGCAAACTGGTTGATATGATTCTAAAAAGGCTAATCAATTTAAATGTGTACCTAATTTGCCTCTCTTTTCATGCGAGAAATGTGGAATATCGATTTTTTTATTGTTCCCTTTTTATTTTAAGCAGGCTGTTTAATTCTCAAGTACTGACATTTTTCTTTCAATCTGAAGGCTGCTAAAAGGCACTTGACACAGCGTATACAAAGGTTGGATGATAAATTGGATAAGCAAAAGGAGATGTCTGGACAAATAAGAGAGGAGGTACTTCCTAAATTTCTGTTGTAATGGTAACTGCACATGGCACAGCTTAATTTGAATAGTGGACTTGGTCATCCATGCAGTGTTAAGTACTTTTTTCAATTGTTCCTTTATTTTAGTAATGGTTGATTTGTAACAAAGTAAACAGTTTAAGTTACTTGGTGCATAAAAAGACCTCGGTGTGTTGTGTATAATCGCAAATATCACATTTTCTTCTTCCAGGTTGCCGGCGCACGAATGAAACTCAAGGACATTGGTGCGGAAATGGAAAATCTCAAAAAGTTGGCTTTTAATATGGTAAGCTTCTATTGGATCAATCATTTGGACAGTATTGATTGCCAGTCTTTCAGCTGAGCTAACGTAAACTACTGCGTTGCTTCTGCAGGATGGAAAGTTAGATTCAATTCAAGACAAGCAGGTAGGCTCCTCCACATATAAATGTTCACTTCATTGCATCGATCTTCTTAACCGTGGGAAATTTGCTCTACACTGCTATCACTTGTCACTGAAAAAGGAAAAAACTATATGCTGTGATTTCTAGCAAAGGGATTCCCTTACGAAGTTCTTGATATCAGGAGTGAGTCCAGCATATAACATTTCTCTGTGTGGTGACTAACGATATTGTATCAACAGGATTGCCAATTGGCTGGCGTGTCGTATCTCCTCCAATTCATAGAACCAAATGTTGCGATGCTGCCGAACCGCCTGGTAAGAACCTAACGAGAAATTACCACCCTTGCTACCACAGGGCCTCTCAATAACTTGTTACAGCATCTCACTTGTTTAGAAAAACCTCTGAATCATCATGGGAGTAGATTTTTGGGTAGCTGAATTGTACCACATAGCCTTCGTCTGCAAAAAGATCACTCTGATCTAACATCGTCATGTTCATTTGCTGCAGGAAGGCTTGCAGCGGCCGGTGGTTACGAGATCCATGAAGCAAGGAGAGCTCCCGGTTAGTTCCCATCTCCCATACACAACTTTCTCCATGGTTAGGCACTGTTATTAGTACATCTTTGTCTGATCGGAACCTCTTTCCTTCAGGGGCTGGAGTTCGGGCTGCGGCTGCTGGCGCTGGAACAATCTGCGAAAGGACCAGGGCTGGCCCTGCCGCCCGTCAAATCTGCGTGCTGATACTTCTACTTCTACTTACGTTGTCAGTCGTGGTGGAGGCCCCGACGAGTTTATAAATCCCAGGTTGTACAGACAGGGAATTCGTAACGTCTGGGAGTTACACTGAAGAAATACACGACATGTGGGTAGGGTAGTGTTTTTACTGGTCATTTTAGACGAACTAGGCCGTGTTATATTACTGGTTAACAATAGTTTCGGGGAGTCCTAACCTTTACAGTTGCTATTTGTTTCCTTGGTTCGGGCTTGGTGAACTATGTGGAAGCTTTGCTCGGTGCTCTCACAGTTTTACGCGTCAATTGACAAAATTGTTTGCTTTTTTTAGGGTTGACAAATTGTTTGCTTACTATGCGTTTTATCTGCCTTTCCAATGGGATTAGGATGGGGTAGCCTAGTACAGGCCGCCAGCCGGCAAGCTCTTTGGAAGATCCTGCTATTTCTTTCCAATCCTCTCTTAGTTGGACTGAGGAGCCTCCGGGGTGCCTCGTTTCGGCACTTGTGGATGATGTAATGCCTTTGTTAAATCAATATAAAGTTAGCCATGATGGCCTTCCTTAAAAAAACACACCAATGATATCAACGTTATATTGGCGGTTGTCATGCTGCCATTTTTTTAAATGTCTGTTGTTAATCGCCCATAGTTGTGATGTTTTTTTGGGTATCGATCCTCACCCACATCCAATGACTCGGAGGAACCCTAGCTGCCACCATCACAACCCTCTCCTCCCTCACTCATGTCTCGCCACTACCAGAGGTCATTGCCGGCGTACCTAAACCGGTGGCTCACTTTTTCCAAGTAATGGGAAAGATACTGCCACTAAAAGACTATTGACACAAAAAGATGGGCTATCAAAAAGGTAGAGGGGATATGATATGATTGATAGTTGGAAAGGTAGAGGAGATAGGATATGGTCGATAGTTGAAGTCGGCAGCTCTCCTACGCTTTCCTCGTCCGGGATCTCAGGGGAAGACGATCAACTTCAACCTGCATTGTAGCAAAAGGAAAATCCAGACTAACCCCATTTGTCTCCATGTCTCCATCCCATAGGAACTAGGAGATAACCCCAAGGACGCCTTCAACGGCCAGGGGTCACGAACCGATCATAGACTGGGGCGGAGCCCAGTGGGCTGACCCTGTGGCACAGGCTACAGGGTCCGATTTTCTTTTTAGTGCTAAATATCGCGTATTTAGCCCGGTGCATCAAGGTGGGTCAGGAAGAGTGCTACATGGCACATTGAACCAGCCGCACCAGGCTCCCTTTGATCCGCTTCCTGCAGCAGGTCTCTCACGTATACACGCTCGCCAGTTAAAAAACCATATACACGCTCGCAACACATAGGACGCGTTTGGTAGCCTGCATTAGGTCGGGTCAGGCCCGCGCGGGATGAAAATAGGCTGTTTGGATGCCTGTGTTTACAGTTTGGCCTGCATAGCACGAATCTCAAAGCACCCCTCAGCCAGGCTCACTAGGAACGGCCGAATCGGCCGTTTCCAATGAGCCAGGCTCGAGCGATGCAGGGGAGGGGAACGCCACGCCGCGCCGCGTACGGGAGGGAGATGTCGGGAGCGATGGCGCATCTCCGAAAAGGCGGCAGGACGAATTTGAGTCACCGCCCGCCGATTCGGTCGCCCTATATATCGAGGGTGACCGTCGCGACAAAACTCCTGCCATCATTTCCCCCCTCTCGAGCTTTCCCTCCGGCACGGATCCACTTCAACGACGAGGTAAGCCGCGCAACTACTCTGGCCACCGGTTGACTACGGCGGCAGGTCGACTCCTCCTCCTCTCCGACGTGCCAGGCACCTCCTCCGTGGTCGTTTTGATGGCGTCTGTAAGTTCAATCACCACCTCCTCTCTACTAGTTCTAGCTAGAGATGTCCATGTGCTAGGGTTAGGTCGTCCGATCTGTTTGACTGTGATGTTGTAGTAGCTAGTTGTGATGGATTTGGTGCGTGCTAGGGGTTGTTTCCATGTGGGCAAGTGTTTGTAGCTAGTGGTCATGGATGGATCGGTGGTATGTTAGTGTGCAAGTGTTGAACAAGACCATCCATGTGTCCATGATTAGTGCTCTGTTATCCATGATTAGTGCTCTGTTATGCAGTGTTGAGCTGTGGTATGCTTGTCTATCTTCAACTAGATCAGCCATGTGCGCATGTGTTACTGCTAGTTTGATCTGTCCATGATGTACTGCTAGTTCCTACTATCCATGTGTAGTGTCTTGTGGTGTTGGTGACACTTACGTTTGTAGGACATGACCACACAAACACAAGAGTTTAGTCAGGCCCTCGTGCTGTCCGAGATCCACTTCCCATCATCGTACGTCGAGGACTCCCAACCTCCTATGGAATAGATGCCTCTTGATTCAGAGGTTTTCGAGGTGCCGCCTATGGTTCCTCCATTTGTGCTGGCTCAGCCCAATGCTGTTGCTCATGCTACTGCTCAAAAAGCAGATGCAAAGGAGAAGAAGGATGGCAGGGGGAACAACATGAAATGGCAGACGTTCCTCTCCACTTTTGTGCTTAACAAGATGTCTGAGATCATAGCTAGTGGGGTGAGGACTGACAAGGGCTTCAAGGAGGTGCACTTGAACCTTGTTGCAAAGCAGGTCGACTTCTGTGGATAGGAGGTCACCTCGACCCAGGTGTACAACCATATGAGGAAGTGGAGAGCAAGGTGTATCACCGGTTCCAAGCTTAGAGACCACAGCGATGCTTCATGGGATGAGGACACCTGCTCAATCCTTTTGGAGGTAGAGCACTACCAAGGCCACGTCTCGGTTAGCTCACAAACCATGCCATTCTAACAAACTAGCAGTTCAAGCCTATGAACCATTGCCATACTAACTAACCTCTCTGCCCTATTTCTTCTTAGGCTCACCCCAAGGACGCAGAGTTCCTCAACACCCCTATCCAGAACTACCACCAGATGCAGCAGATCTTCTCCTTCGGGCTGGCAACCGGCAAGCATGCCATGGGCTCTGGTCAGCCGCTGGGCTCGCCGATGCTGGAGTATCCAGACATCCAGGAGTCAAACACCATCAACGTTGATGCTCCTGAGAAGGATGGTGAGCACGTTCCTGTGCTTGATAGGAAGAGGAAGCGAGAAGGCTTCATGGAGTAGGAGGAGCTGAGCGTCTTCAGCAGCATGACGGAGACAGTGAAGGAGGTGGCCACCGCCATCAGGGAGAGAAAGAGTGTGGACGTCCACCCTCAGCTCTACAGCACCATCATGGAGCAGATTGGCTTTAGCCCAGAGGCTCTCATGGTGGCTCTCAGCCACCTGCTGGGCAACAAAGCCCATGGTGTTGGGTTTGTTGCCATGGGAGCAGCTCACAGGGTGCTCTGGCTGAGGACCTGGCTGGGCAAGCACTACTAGTAGTGCTGCTTCTGCTGGTGGCGACGACATGCATGATCCTTGACGGCGATGGCGACAAGGACGACAATGATGATGACGATGACGATGTATATTTTGTGTAGTTAGGGCTTGAAAACAATCTTATGGTCTGTATATTTTGGTGAGGTGGTATATACTAACCTCTCATGGTGATCATGAACTTGCGGTGGTAGGATGACACCCTCTTTTGGATGTGGTGGTAGGATGGCACCAAAGTAGTGCTAGGTTGAACTTGCTATGATCATGCATGCTTACTAATGCTCTTCTGCTCCATTGCTTGCTCCTAGAGTTCTTCATTGCTTGATGTTTGTGTGTTCCAATGCTTGTTGCTTGAATTTATTGCTCGTTTGCATTGCCAGGACAAGTGGTATGTGGTGTTCGAAGGTAGGGTTCCAGGGGTTTACAGTTCATGGGAAGCTTGCAACAAACAAGTTTCAGGGTACAACGACAGCAACCACAGTGGAGGGTTTAAGACTAGGAAGAAGGGGAGAATGTGCTTACTCCTAGTATGTGCGATAGCATTCATGCAACAAGGTTGAGGTTGGTAAGGTGGATCTACCGTAGGGCTGAAGAACTTCATCATCTTCATCTAGTTCATCGGTCTTGTGGCGTTGGTGTGCTCAGTGTGATCGTGTGTAAGGTGTAGTAGTATTGGTAAGCTCGCCAAGTAGGGTACGAGGTGAGCACAACTCTATGCTCGTATGTAACCAAACAACATGCATTCGTGTGAGCACATACAATGCGAGCAACCAAACGCGGTGCATAGAGACGTCGCTACGATGCAGGGAAAGGACATGCAGACAACCAATCAACATGCAGATGTTGATTTTTTGCCTGCATATGCTCAACCAAACCCAACTGGGACAAGTATGCAAATGGGGAAAACGATGCAGGTAATCAAACACGCCCTTACCTTCATGCACACACGAAGCATTTTTTCCCACAAAATAGAAAGAGAACGCATGCACGAAGCCGATCCAAACCTTTAAGAAGGGACACATTTGGAGAGTTGGTGATGGTCTCAAGATAAACATATGGGATGACTGTTGGATTCCTAATAGCCCGTCCAGGAGAGTCATTACAATCCGAGGTAATCAGGTTTTGACATTCGTTAATGACCTCATTGATCCTATATCTGGTACTTGGGATGAACAGTTGCTCCGTGATAATTTTTGGCATATTGATGCTGAACGAGTTCTGTGAATCCCATTACCGCAGTACGAAATGGACAATTATATTGCATGACAGTTTACAAAGACGGGTAGATTCAGTGTAAGGTCTGCTTATTATGTTGAGTGGGAGGATTAGTATAGAGAAAAAATTGGCTCTAATGGACGACAGTCAAGTAGCCCGAACCATCCTGTGTGGAAGAAAATCTGGAGCCTTAAGATGCCATGCAAGGTCAAAATATTTATTTGGAGATGCCTTCATAATTCTATTCCTTTCCGGAGCACATTAGCAAATCGCCACATCCCTATAAATGACGAATGCCCATGGTGTCAAGGTGCAGCCGAAGATGTAAGACATGCTATGTTTACATGCAGCAGAGCGAAGATGATATGGAGGGAACTCAGCCTGAATGAAATAATAGATGAGGCAGCTTTGGGG